AAATTTCTTGGAATTCTTCCCTAAGAATAGAATTGCATTACTAATAGAAGTTGGTTAACACCCATTGCTGGTCCAATATGATGTCCTTATATATTTAATCTAATAAAAGAAAAAACATGCAAATTGACTGCACCTCTGCTATGCCCCAAGCCATGCCCACCAGCCAATCAGAGCAACTATATGCACATTAAACAAACCAAGATGGCAGCCAGCAGCCACAGAGCTGGAGCAAGCAGGAGGCTTGGTTGCCCCGGCGATGGAGAAAGCCAAGCTTCCTGCCTGCCCTGGCTGGCTGTGGCCTCCACTCAAGGCAATAAAGTTTTAATTATAGAAGATAAATAAATCCCAGATATCTACTTCCAGCCACCCTCCACTGGGAGCTTGGGTGGCTGGGGGCCATGACCAGCCTGCAAACAGCTATCAGCCCCTCACCCAGGATGGCCACACCCTCATGGGGTGAGGGTCTCTGCTGGGGGGCTTGGCCAGCTTTCAAACAGCCATCAACCCCTCACCAAGGCTTGTCAGGCACTCCAGTGGGGACCCCCACCCTGAAGGGGATTTGGGCAGCCTGCAAACAGCCATCAGCCCCTTACCCAGGCTGGCCAGGAACCCCAGCAGGATCCCCACCCTGATCTGGGACACCCTTCAGGGCAAACCAGTCGGCCCCCACGTGTGCACCAGGCCTCTAGTCTATATAATAAAAGGGTAATATGCAAATTGACCCTAACAGCAGAACGACTGGGAATGACTGGTCACTATGACGCACACTGACCACCAGGGGGCAGATGCTCAATGCAGGAGCTTCTCCCTGGTGGTCAGTGCACTCCCACAGGGGGAGCTCTGCTCAGCCACAAGCCAGGCTGACGGCTGCCAGGACAGTGGTGGTGGTGGGAGCCTCTCCCTCATCCTCAGCAGGATGTCCGACTGCAGCTTAGGCCTGCTTTCCGCTGGCAAGTGGACATCCCCCGAGGGCTGTCAGGCTGCCAGAGGGATGTCTGTCTGCCAGCTTAGGCCCATTCCTCCCGAGGGGTCCCAGACTGTGAGAGGGCACAGGCCGGGCTGATGGACACCACTGAGTGCACAAATTTTTGTGCACTGGGCCTCTAGTGGTTTATAACAGTTGATACATTTAAATCTATAGTGAAAAATGTGAATGATATATAGGAATAATCTGTGTGATGTATAGTTCTTAAGAAGTCACTTTCAGTGACTATTCATTTAGAAAGTTAAGAGTCTTTGCAATCAGAAAACTAATAATGTGGTTTTGAAAATCTTGCATCTTTACTATTTATTTGTCAGGTCATAACAGATCAAAATGTATGATTCACTTTTCTCCCTACTCATTGCACAAGCATTTCATAGAGATTGCTGGATGCAGAGGTGCTCTCAAGGAGCACAGACCAACAAGCAGGCAAACAACCAGAATAATGCAGCAAGTGCAGATCTATGTACTAATGTTCTTGAAGCACAGATGGAGTATGCAAGAAAAAAAATCCCAGAAATCTTCACTGAGGAGGTCTTATTTGAGTTGTCTTTTCGGATGAAAATAAGTTTGTCTGGCTGGCCAGAGGAGGCGGGGAGTAGTATCTGCTTTAATCACACTTGACTCAGTTTGCTCTGCCGCTAGGAAATATATCATATATAGCAATAATGAGACAAATGAAAGGGATCAATTCATAATTTGTGTTAAACCTTCCAATAAGTTACAGAATGTAGTTCATCAACCAAGTTATGAGTCAAATTGTAACTTCTCAGTATGTCAATATATTCTCAATTTGTGAAATTCAGTTGTTCACTTCACATTGTTCATATAGATGTAAGCTCTTTATGATATTCATTGAAAAAACTTTGAGTTATAGATCTATATGTTTTAAACAAGAAAATAAGTTTTAAGTTGTAGACTTCTCTGCATGAGTAATATAAATATTCCACGACATTCTGAAATGGTTTATTCTTTGGGAAAATGTTGCAGTTTGATTTTTTTTATTTCCATAAGACTTTTTAATAAAAAGAATTGCATAGTGAAATGCAAGTGAGACATTTTAATAATTCTTTTTAATTAATTGCCAGCATTGTTCTTTTTTAAATTTTTAATCTTTAATTTCTTTATTGGTTAAGGTATTACATATGTGTCCTCATCCCCCCTTTACCCCCACTCCCCCCCCCCTACTCATGCTTTCATCCCCCTGTTGTCTGTGTCCATTGGTTGGACTTATATGCATGCATACAAGTCCTTTGGTTCATCTCTCCCCCTTACCCCCACCCTCCCTTAGCTTCCCTCTGAGGTTTGACAGTCTGATTGCTGCTTCTCTGTCTCTGGATCTGTTTTTGTTCATCAGTTTATGTTGTTCATTATATTCCACAAAGGACTGAGATCATGTGGTATCTTCAAGAGAAAACTTTCAAAACATTACTATACTATGAATAAATAAAAATTATACAATATAAAATTACTATGAATTTAAAACAAAGGCACAACTCAATAATAAGGGGAAATGTTTTTAGAGTGCACTCAATTTTTAACCTGTAGAAAAGTGAAAGCTATCCTTATTATACAAAACATAATTTTAGATACTTTAATCATTCTTGGGTAGACAGTGTAGAAAGTGCTAGACTTTTAAAAAGTATTTTATAGTGTACTTAGTATTAGGTATACTGGAATGAGGCAGAAAATGATGACAAGCATAGAGAGGATTTTGAATTTTAACAGGATATATATACATAATTTTTTTTTAGAAAATGGGGGAAATAACAGTATAATATATACAAATAATACTTATTAGACATCATATAAAAATAAGAACAAATAGTAAATGCCAACAATGGAATTGGTAGCATGTAATAAATTTTATTTGCTTTTTCCATTTAACAAAATTCTTGTTGTTACAAATCAATATATATTATTTTGCAATTACATTCTAGGCTCCAGTACATGCTATCTTAACAAAGAACACTTTCATAGAAATGTTAGGGCTGAGTAGAAGGGAGGAGTATTGCAGTTTCTATTCTAAAAATTCTAAAATGTTTATAAAGTCTTTTGCATCATGCAGATATTCATGAATGGCATATGTAGGGGGTATAGTAAGTTGGATAGAGGGTAAGGCAGTATCTGGGATGTGTGGTCTGCCTTGTGCTATGTGGTATTAAAAGGGGCCGTCTGCTCATATTGCTGGGATGGTTGTAGAGATGGTGGTGGTAGAGGTACATAAAAATGTTGGCTCTAGATCTGCAAATGCACTTTCCTAATTAATCAAGGACATAGTATACGTACTGACTACCAGTATATCCCTTACTGTTTCAATATAAAGTCAGAGGAATATAATGTGTTCCTCCTTTCTAGGTTATGTCATTTCAGCTATTAAAATGGAAGAAGTTATTCTGTTGAAGCTAACTTGCATTAAAGAACTTTATGTTACAAACTATAGGAAATGGCTTAGGCTAATTGAGGAAAAAAATCAAGAACTTAACTGAACTTAGTAAAAGAAGGCTAATGACTTAGTCACAGTTTAAACAGCCCAGTATTTCAAAGGAGAGGAATTGAAGCAAGCCTAGCAGTGGAAAAACCTTCAAGTGAGTTGCAGACAAAGGATAACTCACTACTACCACCATCCCCAATCTCTCACTCTCCTGTTTTACTCTTCCAAGTTATCAGTACAGATTGGTCATGGATAGATGTTTACTCGGGGTAACTAGGTCGGATGATGACAGGAAGGTAGAGAAGTAATGACTTTACTTAACTAGTCTGGCTTGCCTACATATTTGGCAGAAAACAGAGCCTGTTTTCAAAGGAAGAAGTAAAAAATACTCAGATAAAAACAACAGCAACTGTAATCCATCTCTTAGCTTCTGTGTACTTGTGGACACACGGGTGCACATATAGTTCTTTTACATGTGTTTTTATGGGGAAGAATGCGGCACAAAATGAAAAGTTACAAGATAATCTAATATGTATACATAAAGGTGTCCAAAATATCATAGTACAGGTTTAAGCTTTAATAATTTCAAAAGGGTAAAAGCTACAAATTATAAAGATCATTTAAAAGGGGATCTATTTTATTTTCCATTTTCCAGTATAGTTTTTGGAATTATAAATAATACTTTTTGAATTTTAATTTTTTCTTTCATATCCTCTGAAGATGGCAGAGAGAGAAAAATTAACATTGGTAGTTAAAAATATACAGAGTCAAATAAGTATAAATTACATGGATGTAAATAAAAATGTAAATTGTGTTTTTCAACAGTTGGTAGCTGTCACCCTTCTAAAGTTATTAAACTTAAATATGCACTATGACATTTTAGAAACCTGTATATATTCACGTTAATCTAAATATTAGAGTATCCTGTAATTGTTCATTGTGTGCTCATCCTTCCCCATGGATACATATGTATAAGGAGTGTATGTGCACCTGTGTTTCCACAAGTTCGTAGAAGTTTGGAGGTGGATTATAATTGCTTTTGCTTTCATCCATGCAGTACCTTTTTATACTTCCACAATGTCTGTCTTCCAGCCAAATAATGGTGCAGCTGAATACATTAGAGGAAGATATTGAAAAAACGTATATCTTCATTTAAAGAAAGGGATATAGAAAAATATGTAAATTTGTTAACAAAGACCAATTGCATAGAAATGTGGGGGTGAATACAGGGGAGAAGAATTACAATCTGTACTATCAAGATTTTGTAGTCTTTGCAGTCTTTTGCATTAAGAATGTTTTCATGGATGGTATATAATAAAGTTGGAGAGAGGGAAAGCAGTATCTGGAATGACTTCTTGTCCCTTAGGAAAATGGTGGATGGTATTAAAAGGGGCTGTTTGCTGAGATAGGTGGTACGGTATAGAGATGGTGGTGGTAGGTATGAGTATAAAGGTTGGATAGTATGTCTGCTTGAAGGGAATGAGCGTCCTCAGTGGAGTTTAACCTTCACATCCTCTCTTTTAGGGGCTGAAAAACAGTCTCTTTAGTTGTACAAGGTTGTCCTCATGGCAAAATGTTTGTCATTTAGCGTCTAAATAATGCCTTCTCTTCTTTCTCCTTCTTCCTCCTAATACGTGCTTTGAACTTTAGATGAGCCATGGCATTATGGAAAACATGGCAGCTGAAGCCCTCCCTGACTCCATACTCCACATGGTCCTGAAGGATTGCTAAGCTAGGGAAAACCCTGCAGCAGGCCATGCACCTGAACCCACTGTCCAGGGCCACCAGCCACTCAGGTGTCTTAGCGCTGGGATACCAGCCCAGAGCTGGAGGCTGTGCTGGACTGTCAGCCTCCTCCCTTTTCTCCTGGGCTCCGCTGTCTAACATGGGCTCATGAGCAATTAGGTGTTTCTTCTCAGACATGTGATAGACGGGGACATTTTTACGGACCTTTCCAATGTAGGTCATTTCTTCGATTTTGATTTTTTTTGAGGGGGGCTCCCACCCTTCCTTTGTATGGTATAAGACGGCCACACCCCTTTTCAGTTGTACATGCATATAGTAAATTTTCATGGGCCTTACATCTGTCCCATGTACTGGGGGCATAAAGGGCTCGTTATTATTAGGTGTGTGGGAAGGAATGTAGGTATGTGAATAGTCAGAGGAGTTCTCCGTTTGCTCCGAGTCCTGGGATACAGTCATCTCCTTGATTTCTAGGAAAGAAAATTTGAAACATAAAAAGATTAGAAAATATATGTAAGGACTGTAGGAGTTAAGGTACACATGCAGTATGTGACCATGTGAAGTAAAAATAGAAATATATGTGATATTTCAGAATTCAGTATGTGGTGTACTATATCTGAGGTGTTTACATGGTATAACTATATCAGAATGAGGATATAGGTTGAGTAGCATGTTCTTCTAGAGTTGTATATATATTCTTGACCATATTTTGGAAGTGTTTCTGTGTTGCTAAAGGAGAATGGCAAATCGGTGAATGCATGCTTGTTATGTAGTGTGACAGCACATGTGAACAGTGCAGGAGTGGTACCTGTTTTAATGTGAGACAGTGAGACTGAGTGTGTTATGGGCTTTCAGAATGTTCACCTCTATGAAGGTCTTTTGGCCTGGTGGATGAAGTGGCATATGATTAGTAGGGACACAACAGATGAAAGTTCATTTCCTTGAGGCCATGTGAGTTTCTACAGTTTGACCTAAAGAGGTTATCTGTGTGAGGGGAAGTAGATTACTTATGGAACCAGTGTGTAAATGGGTGAGTCTGGAAATGATTGTGTGAAGGAATGAGGGTAACAGTGCATCTAGGTAATGCTGCTAGAGAATGGGAAATACAGATGAAGAAGTAAGGCCTGTGTATATGAGAGAACAAGGGAAAAGCAGGAGAAATGGAGCCTTACTGGAATGGAGGAGGACAGATGTGTGAGTGAGTGTGTGAGGATCTGATTTTGTGCTCATCTGAGGGGAAGGTTCTGAGTAAACTCTCATATCCTTGTCAGCACTGTGCTCTACCTCAGGCACAGCTGTCCCAGTGCTGTATGTTGGGGATTTGTGCTGCAGGACTTTGCCCAGTTCTGGAAGGCGCACTCTCTACCTGTCCCTCCTAGTCCTAAAGCCCTTTCCTGTTTTTGAGGGGAAAGTGAACTAATAGGGAGCAGGCTGAGGAATTGAGCTACAGCTCATGACCAAGCTCAGATCCCACCTTTGTATATTCCTTACCATCATCATATAGACGGGTACGCTTGGATGGTGTGGAGACACCGATAGGATGTTCTGAGAAGGAAGACTTTTCTCCTGCAGTTGGACCACAGGCTGGGGCTTCCACGGGTGACTCGGGCTGAGGGACATTGTCTTGGCTGATGCGGCGTCCTGCGCAATGGAATAAAATAGAACATTGAGATGAAGCATTTCCTGAGGTCTGTGTCAATTCAAAAAGTACATGTTGAGTGGACATGACATGTGAGGCATCATTGCTACCCATGACACCTCTTCCCAAAGAAATTAATGAGTTTTCCATTTAAAATTTCATTAACTCCAAACTATCAGTAAACGTACTAAATGGTGTGTTTTGTGAATATCAGTGGGATTGGGTATCAAAGTGTTATTTGAATGTAATGTGCTTGGTGTTTAAATGCATAATGTGTTGGTTAAAACTGGGTTAAGGTTTAATGTGAGGTTGATTTGGTATTTGCTAATGTGAATATGGGATGAACTTTATGTGACTGAAAAGGTTAAGGTTATGTGTGCTTTCTGTCTCTTGATAGTTCAGCACACATTTATGTATGTAGAATGCATTATCAATAATTATGTATTTATGTGCTTTATATATTATACTAGAGGCTTGGTGCACAAAAATTTGTGCACTCAGGGGTAGGGGGGGGTCCCTCAGCCTGGCCTGTGCCATCTCGCAGTCTGTGACCCTTCAGGGATGACCACTTGCTGGCTTAGGCCCGCTCCCCGGGGGATTGGGCCTAAGATGGCAATCAGACATTCCTCTGGCAGCCTGGCAGCCCTCGGGGGATGTCCATTTGCCAGCGGGGAGCAGACCTAAGCTGCAGTCAGACATCCTCAGCACTGCTGAGGAGGCAGGAGAGGCTCCCACCACCACTGCTGTACTGGCAGCCATCAGCCTGGCTTGTGGCTGAGCAGAGGTCCTCCCTGTGAGAGTGCACTCACCACCAGAGGGCAGCTCCTGCATTGAGCGTTTGCCCCATGGTGGTCAGTGTGTGTCATAGTGACCAGTCATTCCCAGTCTTTCTGCTGTTAGGGTCAGTTTGCATATTACCCTCTTATTATATAGGATAGAGTCCTGATGTACGGGTGGGGGCCGGCTGGTTTGCCCTGAAGGGTGATCCGGATCAGGGTGGGGGTCCCACTTGGGTGCCTGGCCAGCCTGGATGAGGGGCTGATGGCTGTTTGCAGCTGGTCACACCCCCTTCAGGGTGGGGGTCCCCACTCGGGTGCTTGGCCAGTCTGGGTGAGGGGCTGAGGGCCTTTTTCAGCCTGGCGGGTGACTGAAGCTCCCAACCTCTCCTTTTTTTCTTCTCTTTTTTTTATACTGGGATTTTTTTTTAACTTCTATGGCTGTCACTGGAGCTGAGAGCCCGCTTTAGCTCTGAGGCTCGGCTCCAGCTCTGAGACCTCTGCTGCTGAAAGCATATATCTGGGCTATGTTTAGCTTCTATAATTGAAACACTGTTGCAACTCCAGCTCTGAGGCCTGGCTGGCTGAAAGCAGATTTCTGGGGATTGTTTAGCTTCTGTAATTGCAACATAGTTGCTTAGACTGCAGCTCAGAGGCCGGCGGCAGCAGGCTGGGAACCTTGGCTTCCTCCATCACTGGAGCAAGCAAGCCTTCCTGTTCGCTTCAGCTGCGTGGCTGCCGGCCGCCATCTTGGTTGGCAGTTATTTTGTATATCGTACTGATTAGCCAATGGGAAGCATGTCGGAGGTATGGTTAATTACCATGTTTGTCTATTATATAGAATGTTGTTTAGTTAAGGCATGTTATTACTGAGAATATACTCTTTGAGACTAGAGCAGTTAGTATATATGCAAAATGTGTGGGAATAATTAAAGGGGATGTGGAAATGAAGTGATATAAAAGTAATAAAACCTGTGCTTTGAAAAAAATGACAGAGAGTTTAGAGTAGGATGTGTAACATTAGAAATTGAACGTATGAAATATGGGGCATGGCTACAGTGTTCTGGACAGGTTCAAGCCTCGGACTAATAGAGGGCACAGTCCTCTCGTGGCCACGTGCAAGTCCTAGCTGGAAGGCAGAGCCTTCACAACACAAATATAGCCAACAGCTATAGTTTTAAGCTTAAACCTATGGTCCGAACACATGGCCCCACATGCCTGCGTGGTAGAGTTCAGGTGCATGCAGTTGAGTAGGGTTGAGAATGCTGTTAACAACTTGATCACGCCCCTAGTTTGCCTCTTGGCAGCTGCTATAAAATAAAGACTCTGCTTGTGTGCACTGGTGCTGTCTCCTCATCAGGGAGCAGCGTCCCACCAAGACACAGCTTTCATTCTCCTGTCTGTCTTTGTTAATCCTTTCATCCCTCCACTCAGGATCACTGTTAGCTGTGCTGGCTCAGCACAATGAAAGATTGAGTTCTGAAGGGATTCAGATAGAATACGAGAACTAAGGCCTAGCAAGCTAACTCTTAAGCATTCACCGAACAGAAACGTATCCATAGTGAAAAATACCTGCAATATATTACCCACAATATCACTTTTCAAGCAGCTCAGAATCGAAGCAACCATAATGACCAGATAATTATAGTCAATAAAAATATAATATTCATGCAATGATATACATGTACCAAAAAGGAACAAAATTAATGTCATACACAACATGGATAATTCCACAAATATATTGATTAGTGAAAGGAGCTAAATAAAAAGTATATACTGTGCCCTTGTATTTCCATAAAATTTAAAAACAGGGATACTAATCTAGCATCTTAGGAGTCAGAGAAATTATAACGGTTTGCATGGCATGGACAAAAACCCAGCATGGAGAATTTATATGCATGTGGAATGTCGTAGGGAAATGAATAATGGGGACAGTGACAGCACAAGGATCTCATAGGAGATGAATGGGAATGGGAAATACTGGCTATGTAAATATATAGATGTGATGGTGTCTTTGCCTGGGTATCTCTGCACTCTACCTCAAGTTCAGTTCTTGAGGATCCTACCACATTGGGCCTATGTTAGGTTATTAGTGCTTCACAGGGTCATGGTAATATGACATGTGCTTGGCCAGCTCATAGGAACATATTCTTCGATGTTTCTCTGATAAAACTCTCATCCCCTTAGGCCCTCTCCCATGATTTTCTCAAATAGAACACTGTTCTCCACTGATCTCCTTGGGCTCCCTCCAGCTCTTTGCAGTGTTTTCCCTTGCTTCCACTGCTGATCCTACTAAGTCAGCGAAGGCGAACCTTTTGAGCTCGGCCTGTCAGCATTTTGAAAAACCCTAACTTAACTCTGGTGCCATGTCACGTATAGAAATTTTTTTGATATTTGCAACGATAGTAAAACAAAGATTTATATATCTAATATTTATTTTATATATTTAAATGCCATTTAACAAAGAAAAATCTACCAAAAAAATGACTTTGCTTGTTTCCTCTGACAGGCATGTCATAGGTTCGCCATCACTGTGCTAAGAAGATGCAGAATCATTGGAGTATCTGTTTGCACTGGGTAGCTTGTAGTTGGTTAATGGGCAGAAACACTCAGCTCAACCATGGGTTCTGTCTAGATCCCACCTCCCTTTGCATCCTACTCAGTAGTCCCTCCTAACCAGCATCATTTTGCTTGTCTTTAGAAGAGATGGAGGGAAAACTCTCTGAGGAGGAGGCCTTCCATGCTTTCTGGTGTTGAGTTGGGGCCTCTGCCTTGACCCTGCACTGCGAAGCATCTCCTGAATTCAGCTTTGCTGAGAAAATTAAAGTAATAGATACGCACCCCATTCCTGTAATTTGTGTATTTACCTGTCCATTAAACAAAGCGTCTACCATGTACCACATTCACTGAGCACACACAGCCTGGATGGTAATGTTATGTGGTTCCTATGAAAATATTAAATGCACGGAGTAGTTATTGTGCTAATATATGTCCTGGGTGACTGGGTTTGTTCAAAGTGGCTTCTTTGAAAATGGAACCGAGATTGCTGTCTTCTTTCAAACTGGACATAAAACTATGTTATCTTTGTTAGCTTCCCTTGAAGGTAGTTCTGACCATGAGAATACATGACGACAATGGAGAATAATTGGAAATGACATGTGCCATTTCAGGCTTCGCCATACAAACCTTGAATGTGCCGCTCTGTGCTCTTCCGTTTCCTACCTGGCTGGAATGCTGGCATCTCAGAGGCTCCAGTACAGGAAACTTTTTGAAGTGGTTGATGGAATACTGGGAAAGAAAATTTTTAACATAAGCAAGCTAGAAGGTGTGTGTGAAATCTATAGGGGTTAAGATGTCCATGACCCACATGAGAACTTGGAGTGAAAGTTCATATGCATATTATATATCAGAATTCTATGTGTGGGATGCTTTGAGGTGTTTACATGGTATAACAATGTGGGAATGAGGATGTAGTTTTGTATGCAAGTATTTTTAGAATTCTATGTATGTATTAGAATATTTCTGGTGAGTGTTTTCCATGTTGGTAAAGAGGATGGGAATGAGTGTGTGCATGTTTGCAATGTGGTATGACAGCACATGTGAATGGTGCAGGACTGGTCCTTGTTCTTACTATAAGACAGTGAGATTGAGAGAATTAGGGGAAGGGTGTATGAGATCTCAGAATGTTCAGTTGAGTGAAGATCTGAAGGCCTTGTAGCTGAAGTGCCATATAGATTAGAAAGGAAACATGAAAGTAAATTTTCTTCAGGGCATATAAATTTATTACACTTTGACCTAAAGAGGTTTTCTGTGTGAGGGGATGTGGATTATTAATGGTTTAGTGTGTGCATATTATGGAATTAGTGAATCTGATAATGATTATGTGATGAAGTGAAGGTAAAAGTATATCTCCGTAATGGGAATGGAGAATGGGAAAGAGAAATGAAGAGGGAAAGCCTGTGTATATGATAGAACAAGGGAAAAGAAGGACATAGAGAGCCATACTTGGTATGGAGGATGACAGATGTGTGAGTCAGTGTGTGAGGATCTGACTTTGTGCTTCCCAGAGAGTAAGGTTTGAGCAAAATGTCATACACACATCAGCACTGTCTATTGCCTCAGTTTCAGCTGGTGCTATGTTGGAAATTTGTGCTGAGCAACCATGCCCTGTCCTTGAAGGCACAATGCCTACTTGTCTGTCTGCAGGAGCCTTAGTCCTAGTCCCTCTTTCCTGAAGTCCTTTTCTGCATTTGAGGGACATATGAACTAGGTAGAGAGTAAGCTGAGCAATTAAGCTACATCTCTTGATCAAGTTCAGATCCCTCTTTTGTTTATTCCTTACCATCCTCATCACGACGTGTTTTTCTGAACATGTGTATCTCCATACACGGCTTAGATGTTGAGAAAACATCTGTGAAAGGTTCATAGAACACTGACTTTTTCCCTTCTGCCTGACCACAGGCTGGGGCCTCCAATGGTGACTTGGGTAGAGGTGACTTGTCTTGGGTATTGCAAAGTCCTGGGCAATGGAATAAAAAAGAACACTGAGATGAGGAGGCATTTTCTGGGGTCTTTGTCAATTCAAAAACTGCATGTTCAGTGGACATTACATGTCAGGCATCATCATTTCACTTGACACTTGCTCTCACAGTAATTAAGGTGACTTTCCCATTTAAAATTATATTTATTCCAAGCTATAAGTAAACTCTTATTAAATGGTGTGTTTAGTGGATGTCAGTTGGATTGGGTATCTTGCACGTGATATTTCTGCAGATCTATCTATACAGACTATCAACACCTTTGAATCATGCCTGAAAGACAGTATGCAGAGATTGAAAGGTGGATATCAATTCAAATTCCTCATGAAAAATTGTGCATTTAGCAGATATATGGTGTGACTTTTATGAAGTTCTTAATGAATATCAAGATATTTACATTGCTCTTTATACTGAGCAGAGCTGTAAAAGGATAAATGTTTATTTTTGAAGAAATTATACACTATTTTGTCACTGTTCCTGTTTCAATCTTAGCAAGCTCACTGCTGCTTAATTCACTGTAAGATTATCTTCATGTCTCTGGAATGTGTGCGCTATAGTATTATTCATATTTATAGCAAAATGCCATGGTGAATGTAATGTACTTAGTGTTTACATTTCTAATGCGTTGGTTAAAACTGGGTTGAAGTATAATGTGTTATTGAATTGGTGTTTGCAAATGTAAATGTGGAATGAGCTTTGTGTGACTGAGGAGGGTATGTGTGCTTTTTGTCACTGTGTTTGTTCAGCACATATTTATTGCATAATGTGTAGATTGCATTATCAACAATAATGGACTTACATGCTTTATATATTATGTTGTTTAGATAAGGAATGTTATCACTAAGAATATTGTCTTTGAGACCAGAGCAGTTAGTGTATTTCCAAAATGTGAGACAATAGTTATAGAATCTGGGGATGTGAAAATCAAGGTTTATAAGAGAAAGAATGCCTGTGCTTTGAAAATAATGGCAGAGAATGCAGAGAATATTTTGTAATACTACATATGCCATAACAAGAAATTGCATTAGAAAGCAAAGTGTGAAGTATTGACTTTTGAGGAGGTTAAAATAGAATATGGCCCCTATGGCCTAGCATTCTAATTCTTCAGCATTCACCTCATAGAATTATGCTCATATTGACAAATATATGTAATAGATTGCCCAGAACATCACATTTTCAAGTATTTCAAAGTCAAAGCAACCTGAATGATCAGAAGAGTATAATCAATGAAGAAATAATATTTGTGAAATGATATACATATCCCAAAAATGAACAAAATTAACATCATGTACAACATGGATGAATTACACAAATATAGTAATGAGTGAAAGGAGCTAGACACAAAGTATATACTGTGCCCTTGTATTTCCATAAATTTTAAAAAACAAGGATACTAATCTAGCATCTTAGGAGTCAGAGAAATCGTAAAGGTTTGCATGGCATGGACAAAAATTCAGCATGGAGAATTTAGAGGCATGTGGAATGTTGTAGGGAAATGAATAATGGGGACAGTGACAGCAAAAGGGTCTTATATGAGATGAATGTGAATGGGAAATACTGGCTATGTAAACATATGGATGTGATGGTGTCTTTGCCTGGGTATCTCTGCACTCTACCTCAAGTTCAGTTCTTGAGGACCCTACCACGTTGGGCCTATGTTAAGTTATTAGTGCATCCCAGGATCCTGGTGATATGACATGTGCTTGGCCAGCTCATAGGAACATATTCTTCGATGTTTCTCTGATAAAACTCTCATCCCCTTAGGCCCTCTCCCATGATTTCCTCAAATAGAACACTGTTCTCCACTGATCTTCTTGGGCTCCCTCCAGCTCTTTGCGGTGTTTTCCCTTGCTTCCACTGCTGATCCTACTAAGTCAGCGAAGGCCAACCTTTTGAGCTTGGTCTGTCTGCTTTTTGAAAAACCCTATCTTAACTCTGGTGCCGTGTCACGTATAGAAATTTTTTTATATTTGGAAACCATAGTAAAACAAAGATTTATATATTTAATATTTATTTTATATATTTAAATGCCATTTAACAAAGAAAAATCTACAAAAAAAAATGAGTTCACTTGTCACCTCTGACAGGCGTGTCATAGGTTCGCCATCACTGTACTAAGAAGATGCAAAATCATTGGAGTATCTGTTTGTACTGGGTATCTTGTTGTCGGTTAATGGACAGAAACACTTAGCTCAACCATGGGTTCTGTCTAGATCCCACCTCCCTTTGCATCCTACTCAGTAGTCCCTCCTTACCAGCATCATTTTGCTTGTCTTTAGAAGAGATGGAGGGAAAACTCTCTGAAGAGGAGGCCTTCCATGCTTTCTGGTGTTGAGTTGGGGCCTCTGCCTTGTGCCTGCGCTGCAAAGCATCTCCTGAATTCAGCTTTGCTGAGAAATTAAATAAAAGTAATAGATACGCATCCCATTCCTGTAATTTGTGTATTTACCTGTCCATTAAACAAAGCGTCTACCATGTACCACATTCATTGAGCACACACAGCCTGGATGGGTAGTGTTATGTGGTTCCTATGAAAATATTAAATGCACGGAGTAGTTATTGTGCTAATATATGTCCTGGGTGACTGGGTTTGTTCAAAGTGGCTTCTTTGAAAATGGAACCGAGATTGCTGTCTTCGTTCAACATCGACATAAAACTATGTTATCTTTGTTAGCTTCCCTTGAAGGTAGTTCTGAACATGAGAGTAAATTATTACAATGGAAAATGACATTTGCCATTTCAAGCTTCGCCATACAAACCTTGAATGTGCCGCTCTGTGCTCTTCCGTTTCCTACCTGGCTGGAATGCTGGCATCTCAGAGGCTCCAGTACAGGAAACTTTTTTTTTATCCCAAATTTATTTATTTATTTATTTTCTTTTTTCTTTTTATTGCTTAAAGTATTCCAAAGGGTATTATATATTTGTTCTTTCCCTCCCCCCCCCTTGACAATCCTCTGGCCTCCCCTACCCCCCAAGGGAACTTTTTGAAGTGGTTGATGGAATACTGGGAAAGAAAATTTTTAGCATAAGCAAGCTAGAAGATGTGTGTGAAATCTATAGGGGTTAAGATGTCCATGACCCACATGAGAATTTGGAGTGAAAGTTCATATGCATATTATATTTCAGAATTCTATGTGTGGGATACTTTGAGGTGTTTACATGGTATAACAATGTGGGAATGAGGATGTAGTTTTGTATGCAAGTATTTTTAGAATTCTATGTATGTATTAGAATATTTCTGGTGATTGTTTTCCATGTTGGTAAAGAGGATAGGGATGAGTGTGTGCATGTTTGCAATGTGGTATGACGGCACATGTGAAAGGTGCAGGACTGGTCCTTGTTCTTACTGTAAGACAGTGAGACTGAGAGTATTAGGGGAAAGGTGTATGAGATCTCAGAATGTTCAGTTCAGTGAAGATCTGAAGGCCTGGTAGCTGAAGTGCCATATAGATTAGAAAGGAGACAGATGAAAGTAAATTTTCTTCAGGGCATAGAAGTTCAAAAGACTTTGACCTAAAGAGGTTTTCTGTGTGAGGGGATGTGGATTATTTATGGGATTAGTGTGTGCATATTATGGAATTAGTGAATATGATAATGATTATGTGATGAAGTGAAGGTAAGAGTGTATCTTTGTAATGGAATGGAGAATGGGAAAGAGAGATGAAGAGGGAAAGCCTGTGTATATGATAGAACAAGGGAAAAGGACATACAGAGCCATACTTGGTATGGAGGATGACAGATGTGTGAGTGAGTGTGTGAGGATCTGACTTTGTGCTTCCCAGAGAGTAAGGTCTGGGTAAAATGTCATACACACACATCAGCACTGTCTATTGCCTCAGTGTCAGCTGGTGCTATGTTGGAAATTTGTGCTGAGCGACCTTGCCCTGTCCTTGAACGCACACTGCCTACTTGTCCGTCTGCAGGAGCCTTAGTCCTAGTCCCTCTTTCCTGAAGTCCTTTTCTGCATTTGAGGGGAAAATGAACTAAGTAGAGAGTAGGCTGAGCAATTAAGCTACATTTCTTGATCAAGTTCAGATCCCTCCTTTGTTTATTCCTTACCATCCTCATCATGACGTGTTTTTCTGAACATGTGTACCTCCACACAGCCCTTAGATGGTGAGAAAGTAACGTTGATAGGTTGACAGAAGGCAGACTTTTTCCCTTCTGCCTGACCACAGGCTGGGGCCTCCAATGGTGACTTGGGTAGAGGTGTCTTGTCTTGGGTATTGCAGGGTCCTAGTCAATGGAATAAAAAAGAACACTGAGATGAGGAGGCATTTTCTGGGGTCTTTGTCAATTCAAAAACTCATGTTCAGTGGACATTACAGGTTAGGCATCATCATTTCACTTGAAACTTGCT